AGCAACTGAAAAACATATACATGTTAAGTACAAAAAAAATCATCCAGTAAAATAGTTGAACTCGCCTGGATTATTTTTGAAAATTAGATTATTCAGTGGACGACATATATAACGCCATTCGTGAGCAGTAATGATCCAAAAGCATCCAGAATAAAACATGCAGTATGGCAATCACTTCCAGGGTGCTTGATGCTGTTGAGGTTTTTGGGACTCGCTCTGATCAGAACAACTGAATGAATCCAGATAATTGTGTGCCATCTAAAATAAACTTATGATTGCAGAAAACTTATAGCTGGAACTCACCGTATTTTTGGAGAAGTGTCATCCTTGTTGTTTGGCAATGGAACTCGAGAATATGAAATTAGGCAGGCAGTGGTCGGGAGAAAAGATATTACAGGATAGTGCGTAGTTTAAAACAGGATGAGGTGTTAAGTGAAGGAACACTGAGAATTAGATCCAGATAACTATTTAGTCCTTGATCGCATTGTTAGTCAATGTATATTTACGCTATTTACAGGTCATATTTGCTAGAGCTTGATGTTTAAACAAGTCTATGTCGCTGAAGCATGTAAATGCTATTACATCTTGTTAACAAACCATCAAGGCTAATTAGTTAATATAGACGACCAGATTTTATTATCGATTGAGCTAGTTTGTCATGAGGACTAATCAATATAACATTACGATAATGCATGTGAGCATTAATCAGAGGACTATTAGAATACAGGGTTAACATAAATATAAAATCGATCGAGAAAGTTTAAGTGGATATAAGGATTAATAATAATAGGTTGCGTTTCTTTAGTTGGGCTCACCAATGTAGAATTATGGTCCACTATGATATTAGTACTGCTCTTATAATAGACCTAATCCTAAATTTGTAGATTTGTCATGATATAACTGCCTAATCTATAAGATCTTACGTGGAAATCACACCATCGACTACGCCAACTCACTGTATCGTATCAATTACCAATACATGGTGTAGAACAAGGTTAGGCTAGAGAAAGAACAATATATTTAATATGAATAGAAGATATAAGATAACATTCAGCATGTCCACGCCTGCATGGCCGAGTCATGCCATCCGATCAACTCCAGTTCATTCCATTCATTGTTCCCGCCTTTTCCATCGTTAGGTATTTATCCGTGTTAAATATTGAATATCTATTTTCCGAGTAGTGTTGTGTTCAGCTTTGAAGATTGTGTGGTTATGGTCCAATGCCACTACAACCTCACTTGGTCCACTGGTGATCGTAGTTCATAGAATTCATTTCTTAGACGATGAGCATTCGCATTTAAAACAACTAGGGAGGACGACCTATCCACACAGGCCATGGTAGCATACGCTTTCAAGACCTGACTAATCAAAGGCTAACTAAGCAGAGATTTTTGTCATCATTTTGCCGACGTGTGTCAAGCTCAGCTAATGCCTTCTTCCTTTTTATTTTGTCATATATCAGGTCTTAATCCAGTGCCAGTACTGGCGTGAATACGAGCGCTACTTAACGAAAGATCACGTTGCTTCTCTGACGCTAGGATTACCTTAAGGAGTTCACATGGTCGATTCAATACTGTCGTCGATCTTCTTACCTGTTCTTACCAATTTTTGACATTAACTGCTTTGGAATCACCTGGTAAGATAATACGGATAAGTTTTCCGAGCCTTTCCAAATCAAGCGCGTATCTAATTTTGAGATCAGTGTCGTTTGATTCTAGTAAATTATTTACGATAATATTTGATGAAATTAAGTTTTTCCCAACCACGCTAGGGTGGAGTTTTCGTGCCTTTAGTTAACCCCCGTTCTATTGATAGACGAAACTAGACTAGTAATGAAGAGGTCTTTATCTAGATGATGGCACAATCACAGCGGTGCCGGGGATTACCTGCTTAAACACACAAGGTTTTTCAATATTCAATATAAGACAACAGGACATATCATGCCTATGCAAAATAAGGAAGTGAATGAATACTTGCGCTTTATTGCTCTGACATATACTTAATTGTTTGAGGTCAACTCTTAAATAATCAACTTAAGCCGTGACAGAATTCTGTCCTACTATCAGACTTTGGTAGTGCGTTTCGTGACTCAGAATAAGATTTCACCAATGACTTGTCAACTAATTGAGTGCTTCCTACAGCTTTTTTCGCTCACTTCTTTGTCTACGTGCTGTCAACCATTTTCCGTCACTCAGAACAGCGACATCGGGACCATTAGGGACGGTGACAATTTTATCCGGGTCTTTAGTTTTTACTGTAGAAGTATGACTACTCATATCAATATCAAGTGGCACTTCACTTCTCGTTGGTTTCCGCAAAGATTTGATTTCCCATCAAACATAGTCGAGTAGTTAACACATCCCGTAACAGCACGTACCACACTGATACATTATTTACTGTCAGTACTCGTGTTACCAGCGCAACCACTGTCATTCTTCTTACAGGCCATAGCTAAGAGACTCACAGCCCCCCTGGATCAGTAACGCCTTATTCATACTGCAAAATATACAAAGCCAATGCGAGTTAGGCCTAACATCTTTACCTCTCCATTAGCCTTAATGAACGACTTTACTTGCTATTATCTTCCATACTCTTTCTTCGTTTATACTTCTTAACACTTTCCCACTCTGTCCTTTTTTCTCAAATATGCGCTTCATCGCTCAGTTATCTGAACATTTCTTATTACGTAATCTTATGGTTTTTGTGAGTGTTATTTCAGTGTCTATATTTTTCTAATCCCTGACCTATTTCCCAAAATGCAACAATGATTCAAGCCTCTTATCACAGCTTGCACACCTGTCATCACACTACCAATTTGTACTTCTCACGTATTATGTATATTTACGTAATCTGTACCACTGTTATCACTAAATCACAAACTGCCTTTATTGGTTTAATAATTTCAAATAAGTATAAATATTAGAATGAAGCCTGATGAGAATCGCTTAACTATGAAGAGCCATCGGGAAATGTCAATCACATGAACATTGAACAAAATAACTCATCACTCACTAGGCTAGCTGCTGTGCTACCAAATTTTATTATTCCTTAACAGCTTTTGATTGTTCTGCTTGATTCAAACGCTCTCTGCAATAGGATGGCCAGTCTTACATCTCTAGCCTACTTGGTCAATCCATGTTTCATTCTAATTACTGTAACCTGGTGCACACCATGCAGACATGGTCACTCCATGTAAATTCTATTGAATCTTATACTAGGCATATTACTTTCTACCCGGCCCAGATGTGTTCTTCAGGAATATTGGGCGTTACATAGCTTATGCCTACGATATGACGTTGATGTGAATTCTGCGTATGATATTATAGATTAGGTTTTCAAATCATAACAAATCTACAATTTTAGGGATGGGTCTACTATCATACTTGTACTAATACCAAAGCATATCATAACTCTACAACTTCTCAAAAAGTTGTATTGTATAAATGCTTAGCAGGACCGGAAATGTAATCCAACAATGTTGAATTCGGACGTGGTTTGCAACGTGGATGCAGTACCATTTTTGAAAAAGATCATAAAAACTGCATGTATAGTGCATTACTTAGACATAAACCTAATCATTAACTCTCTGGGATATTTGCACGAATGTGTTTCCTCTTTTTTATTGGTTCCATTTATTTAAAAACCCCAATTGGAAAGAATCTTGTCAGCAAACCGATGTTGTAAATTATGGATCATGCACGTACAAATGGCATGTACGTGTCCTGGAAGAAATGTGCTATATTATAACCAACCTACTGACCGCGACGGACATGTAGGTAACCATCATTGATCGCAAGGGGAAGGTTGATGTCACACATTTTGACTTCTAAAAGTTCTTGATACGGTCAATCATTCATCAGCAGGCTCGAACGATTAGGTGTCAAGTCATCAATAATTGATTAGCTTGCTTCACACGTAGGTAACTGATACTTTAAGGTCAGGGTAAACTTTACTTCCTTTGGAGTTACGAAATGTCCTGTTGGGGTCCCTCACAATTCAGTACTAGAACCTCCTCTATTCTCAACTTGTATAGATGACCTTCCTCAGCAAATACCGGCTGATTTATTGTGTTTTCGCTGACGATGTAAAACTCTGGAAAGAGGTTTGCAACCAAGGTGATGAACTAGTACTTCAGGAAGATATGGCTCGACCTCAAAGTTAGGTGGATGACAACGAACAAACCTTCGACATTTCAACGTATAAAGTAGCCCATCTTAGACACATTGCAGGCTATCCATACAACTTATGTAATTCGCCTTTAGAGGTATCCCAAGTTGAATACGACATAGGAGTGTTGAAAAGAGGTATTACTTAGAGCCTAGTTGGATAGGGTCTGTAGAATTATGGTCTACTATGATATTAGTACTGCTCTAATAATAGACTTAATCCTAAAATTGCAGATTTGTCGTGATGTAACTTTAATCTATAAGATCTTACGTGAAAGTCACATCATTGTCTACACCGGCTCATCGTATCGTAACAATTGCCAATATATGATGGAGAGCACATTCAGTCTGGACAGAGAACAACATATTTAATATGAGTTAGAGCAAGTTGTACAGAGCGACCACGCCCGCGAGGCAGAGCGATGCCATTCGATCGACTCATTGTTCCCGCCTTCTCTATCGTTGGGTATTTATCCGCATCAAATGTTGAATATCTATTTCCCTAGTTGTTTTGCGTTCAGCTTTGAGGAGTGTGTGATTAGGGCCTAATGCTCCAACAGGTCTGTAGGTAGATATAGTGATTGTGGTGCTTGTATAAACTAGAGATTCTTCCGTACTTGATGACGGCCTGATTTCGAATCCCAAATACAGTATGTTCGTTTGTGCTCACCTAGTTCTTCTTGGTCCAAATTACTCTATTTAGGGGATTCCTAGTTCATACAATAGTTCAAATGCTTCTATAGGGCCAATGAAATGTCACTGAGTCTCAGTCACATCGTCCGTCACTTTGGTCACTGAATGTCAAAAGGCTCATCAATCCCCGTCAAGTTCAAGGAAAGCCAGCGCGCATTAATTAATCGTGCTCCATGAACTGGCCTATGCGGTGGTGGTCACACTTTCGCCTGTACCTACTCTAACTCATATGTATCTGTAATACCGTCCTGTGTTATGTGGTCTTCGAAACAGCCGTCGTTTTTTGCTATATCTAAAGAGTAATCCACATTAGGTGCTGACCGTGAGGTGTGACTTGAAAGTTAGTTGCTGGTCACACTATCGCCGTCTAACTCGAGTGAGCACTCAATCACATCGAGAAAGATGGGTTCGTTCATTACATATTGTGACTACACCTGTAGAGATAACGTCTGATGACATCCACACTTTTCTGCAAGTCGATCATGTAGTTATTTTATGGAATACTTTTTACAATAGTGGATCTCATTCTTCAACAGCTACTCACCTTTCATAAACGTCAACACAAATTAGTTTTGACAATAGCTTTATAGTTGGGTGATATCAGCTGAAGAAACAATAAAGGTCACCAAGGATTGAACAAACTTTCTATTTCTCCCAGTTCGGACTCACGAATTCACACTAGACAGAACTCAGGATCTTTAAGTGTCGGAAACTCCTAATATATATGCTACCGACTTAAGTCAATTAATGACATGATTCGACAATTTTAAAACTACATGAAAAAGTATATTTAACTTCAATTGAAAAATGCTTTATTTAAAAGCATCACTATACTTCCGTTAACATTTTATACATAGAGGACGCTATGAGTAATGTTTCTTGTCAAGAATTCAAAATTTTGTGAGTGTGATGATGGTGTCTTGAAATGTAAGACCTTCTAGAATAGTATTGACGTTTTGTTTTCGCAAGTATCGATTTCTCCCAACCATAACATAAACCGAATAGAACAAGATAATCTTTAAATCTATAGATTTGATGTGATGAAATCCGGTCAACATATTTACTCATTTATTCACGTATAGCTCTACTTTATTAAATAGTTAATTTTAATTTTAAATTTTTTTCATCAACATTTGAGACATTGCAGACTACACATACAACTTAAGCAATTATCCTCTAGAAGTACTATAGGTTGAAAAAGATGTAGGAGTTTCGGTACCCTGTGATCTAAAGTCTTGTGCCAACCGCGACAGAAATGCCTTCAAAGCAAACCCTGAAGCGCATTTTCGGCCGGTTCGATGGTAGGACATTCAATTTAATCTTTAACAGTTTTGTTCGAGCCCATTTAGGGCACAAAAATGTGGTGTTTCTTCTCCCACCCTAAAATGATAAGAATATACTAGAACGTATCCAACAGTGAGTTACGAAATGTATGAAGAACGTCTCAGATTACTGAAACTTTAACCATTGAGGTATAAGCGTCATTAAGGTGGTCTTCGAGTGACTTATTGCATTCTAAGCACTCCTGGATGCTCTACTAAACACTTAGTTATGCTCATTTCCGATACAAAACACAGGGTTATTACCTTGAAACCAATATATCTGAAATAGTTACCCCTAATAGTCTATCAGTACATGACTCCGAAGATATCTCGACCGTAACTTTCTTTTTGGTACAAATTTTCTCCTTGTGCGTCAAAGTTACTCATTAGTATAGTTGCGCTTGTACGTCACGCTTTTCATAGTAAAATGGAAAGTTAAGTATTTCGACTTTATTCAAAATGTAGTTAGTAAATACGTGAATGATAACTACAATGTAGCATAATTATTTTGAGTCCCTGGAAGCCTGTTAATTTCCTAGAATGAAGTATTTCTAAACTGTGATTTGTGAAATAGCAAATACCTGTGATTAGCAACTTAATTGTTGGAGTTCTAATAGTTATGTTTTTTGTCACGTATAATGAATGCAGCATCATTTAGACGTTCACTGGCCATCTCAGATTTTTGGTACTTCAGTTCTTTTTTGTCATAACTGCTTTTTTCTACTTGCGGCTGACATGGTTTGTAATCATACCACCTCAAGTTTTTAAAAGTATTTGGGTCTATTTTAGTTTCTGTTTGTCAAATTAATCCTTGTTATCCTGTTAAATATTACTCGTATAAACTATTGTCGTTTTTACAGATCATTGCACTCGATTACTTTGGTTGCACCAACTACATCAAATTACGGTCATTTTTGTAATTTTCCACTTTTATAGAGGTGTACATGATATAAATCAGACATGGAAGAAGAAGATACGTACTTACCAGAAGTAAGTTAAATTTGAAGTTATTTTCTCTTAGAACCATCCATTACAACAATACTTTCGAGAAATCGCAGTTCCGGATGTTGCTACTTGTGAAATCCCCAAAAGGCCTACTATCACCACCACTACTACCTTTCTGATGAAAAAGTTTGTGCATATCTTATCGTACTTCAAATGCATAAATCCTTTTGATTTTACATTATATTTCGGTCTCGATTTACCAGTAAATTATTATTATTAGCTTATATTTGTCAGCTTACAAGATATCTTTTACTTCAGATAATTAGCCTAATAAAATACAGTGATCTAATTACTGTTGAGAATAAACCAGTGGTTGAATACATATACTCGGTGGGAAATAACGACCAAGTCGACTCAAGGTAGCAAGTGAAATTGAAATATTCTGATTAAAAAGTTCTAGATTTTGTCTTGCGATGTTTTCAATTCTTTGTGGATTCGGATTGAGTTACTCTACTCAAATGATTTTTATATTCTTACTCGTTATTTTATGTTTACGGATGTCCAATGTACTATTTTTAATGGTATCTAAATATCATCTTGCAGACTCATTGAAGCAAATGAAAAAATTCTCTCACAGATCCCATCTTATCGTTCTTTTCTTACAAGATCTCAATACCCGCCGTTATTTCGGTCCCAAGTATGCATTTTTAACTTACTGACAACCTAATACAGAATTGTAGATAAAAATACATTTAAAATTTTCCCACTAATATACCATCAGGCGTACAACTTTATGCGCGCTTACCTTATAGAATTGATCGATTTTTCTGTTAAATTGGGAAGTAGGTCAGAATATGTTATTGTTATTGTTGTACTATATGATTTTGTTTTCATAGACTTAATTGATGAAAATAATTCTGAGATACCATTGGAGATGTCAACTTCAGAACTGATTCAATTAAAATGTGACATAGAAGAAAAGCCTAAAGACCCAAGCATCGAAAATCTACGAGTTTGTTTTTCTCTTCGGTTATTTTTATCTTGTTTTTGCTTTCAGATGTTTTGTGAACTGTTAAAACTGTTAACATCTGATCTCTTAGTCAAATTGTCGTTCTCGTTTTGCCAATCAAGACGGGATACTTTTCACCTATGTATGTTCATCATTTGTATGTATTTATTGGTAGTTTGTGTAAAACGCTGATCAATCACAAATTACTATCGAAATAAATTCATACTCTTACATTTTGCTGGGTGATTAAAATTTAAGGTTTCCTTTCAATATGCGCATCAAAAATATCGGTCAGCGTGCATCATGAAATTTGTAAGGTATTAAGTAGTTGAATCCAGTCATCTCGAATAGAAATTAATGTTTACCACTTGTTAATCTTCTAATGCGCCAAAATCTTAGGAATTATTCCAATGTTAGCTATAAAAATAAAAAAATAATAGGTTCCGCAATATGAGAAATTCCTGTGCTATTTGACTTATTGAGAGATGAAGCATTATTCATCAGTAGGCTATATTGTGTGTTTAATATGACGTTTTCAAATACGTTCACACTAATTTTAAACATGACAAATTTATTACATGGTATATAGTAGACTTTTCTAAGTTTTGTTGAAATGTTAGGGAGATGGAGTAAGTGCTGGTAAAACAATGTTAAATTATTCGTCCAAATGCCAATTCATCCATTCTTCCATGTAAAGATAGATAGTATATCAGAGCTCGGTATACAAACCTGTAATTGATTAATATTTCTTTTAACAAATTAACTGTTCAGTGTATCGTTGAAGTAGGAAGTGGTGGTTAATCCATTTTACTTTCAACCAGTAGGTTAAAGATACGAATGACTACTTATTTAATTCCGTTTGAGGAGCCGGGTAATATTGTTATAGCGTTTACATAAACTGTATGACTTAAAGTTGAGTACACAAATCTATGCTTGGTATATGAATTACACTACAATATAGGACTCAATAATATTGATTCTGTTTCTTTTCGTTTTTTAGTACGATTGATTATGTCAGTATGGAAATGGGACTACTTTTTGACTAGAATGAAGAATGAATTCAATAAATTGAATGAATTACATTCAATGATTTTAAATGGCAAGCTCATACATAATGATGCTCGAACTGCAAAAGAATGTGTATCTGGAGAAAATGAAGTCAAAAATCTCTATAAACAAACAGAGGCTCGAATAACTCACGAATTATTGCTGCATCTTCTTGTTTCATTGGAACAGTAAGTTGTGCATTCTACGTGTTTTGTATGATAATGTTTGTTTCAGTTATTCCTCCATATTGTATACTTTTCGTTTTGAGTAGTCGTGTATTATTTCCCTCTTCTGTTACTCATTTCGATATCATGTTTAGATTTACGCTACCTATGACTGACTGACCTTTGATTTCATGAACAGTCTTTTCTTTTATCTGAGTATGTTATTGCAATGAAGCAACGATTTAGTGATTAAGACAATCGACCGTCAACCGATGAACTACATGTTTGAATCCAGCTTACTCTGCTTCGATTTCGACAATCCGTTTTGTATCACTGTCCCTCATAAAAAACAAGGAACGTCCTATAACCAAATGCAAAAACGTATACTTGGTTGATAAATTACATCATAATACTCCATTCAGTTTTTATTTATACGTGAAGGGTGATTTTTCCCCATTTTCAGGCTCCATTTTTCTTTAAACTATTCGGCAAGGCATTGCTGTTGAATGTTTCAAGTTCATTAACAGGACACTACAAACCTGTGTTTCATACTTATTGAGGCTAATAAAAAAACTATGTACCAATTCTTCAACTGGAATATCACTACATTTTTGGTTCGCTTAATTAATTGCTTATTATCACTACTTTTATTATTTTAAAGAGGATAGGGAAGTAATCAAGCCCGTTTTTCATACGAGATAAGTTTTAAATGGACACCGCTTGTTTTGTTGTCCGTTTGCACCTAGAATATGTATTTCAAGAGTACAGTGCTTATATTTACCGTTTGTTGTCATTATTCGAGTTATTATTACATTTTTTATATCCAGGACGTAGCAACTAAGAAGTGAAGAAAGAATGTGAACTAGTTGGTATACATTTTATGTCTTATGTCTCAACTTCAAACGTCTGCTGTCCACAATGTCACATTTATAGAAGTTCACGTCGAAACTTTTGATTAGTGATCATACTTGCGTTATTCATAAGTTTTAGGCATAGATAACTAGGTATTCAGACATACAGATTGCTTTGAGCAGCAGAAATTGGAAAATACATGAAGTAGCTTTTGTTAGGTGTTTGGAATTTTGTGCATGTGGTAGTTGAAGTTAGACGGAAATTTGAATTATAGGTTGATTCAAACCGTCAGCCTTTTGATAACCAGGCTGATGCTTGATAGAATGTGCTATAAGATTAGTTTGTTGGATGCGAACTACTCTATGGACTTGTTGGATATGGAACGCTAATATCCGACAGCAATTCGCAGCTTTCAGTAACTTAATTTATACTGGTATAGAACAAATGTGTCTTAGCGTTTACGCTAATTATTGACTTCGATCTAAATAAATATGACAAAGCAAATAGGTAAGTCGGATTTTTATCATTCATATTAAAGTAATCGGTAGTAATCGGCGTGACATATGTTTCTTACTTGTTAGTATATTCATCCGTAACGTATTTCAAGGGTTTTGAATATAAACTTAATGCTTTTTGAACTCGAACCAGAATCATTTACTTTATAGTTGACATCACCTTATAGTAAGAAATTCAGCATTAATATCTTTTACTCATAAAAATTAATTTAGATTCAGACTGTGAATGCAACATTATATATCCAAGATTTATAGTGATGTAGTAAAGATACTTAGTTTTGTTTTGTTTCTATCTGCGTGTACTGCAACTTCTTGTAAAATTGTCTTCTGATATATTGAATATTTTAAGGAAAATAACAAGCTACGAATATCTAACTTATTTATTTATTTCCATAGTGCCAACAATTTGAAGTCTTATGTTGAACAAAATTGTAATACGTCATTTGTTTCGAATGAAACCTTTTCCAATTTAGTTAGTCTCATACGTTGTCAATTGAATGCATGTCTGATTTTTTTGAATGAATTGGATAATGCTCAAACTGCAGACAGTGTTGATATTTCAAAAGAAAATATAGAAACTACTGTTGACTTCCTATATTGCCGAGATGGGATTTCATCTAGTAAAGATGTTCTGAAAGCTGTGGATCCAATTGTAGAGGATGATGTATGTAACAAAATGTTTTTGAGTACTTGCACAAATGTACTTAATCATAAGTTCTTAGTTTGAATTATAACGTGAAACAGTTGTATTAATTAGCTAACTATGAGAATGATCTAGTTATATGGTCTCAGTATAAAAACTTCATCATGTATACTTCCTGTTATCTAATTGATTGACATTAGCTATTGTGTTTTGCTCATAGCTTCATAAATCATAGATTGGAGAACAAATTAATTTTAAAAAGTTTGTTCGACATAAAATTACCGCTTTACCTGTCTGGCTGGTGCTGAAGTGGAAATATATTTTAAATGAAAATCTTCATTAATTCTTAACTTTGTGATTTTCACGGATCAAAAGTCACTAAAATTTTATGTCTAAGCAATGCTCAGTGTAGGTATTCGGCTTGATAAAAATGTAACTTGGAATTTGTAACCACGTCAAATAACAGTAGTATGCTTATGGAAAAGAACATTTGTTCAAAACTACATTCACATCATTTTCTAAGGGACAGTAAAAAATCCAACTTTTCACCAGCTATTTGAAAATTACTCTTATTTACTTAAGTGTATATATAGTAGTCAAATACTTTTCTGTTACTAATTTGCAATAGGTTGGTGTATTCTTTCACTACAGTTAAGAAGTGTTTACTCTGATCAGGTACTTGATGTTCCCTGGTGAAATTTTCGGCTTGTGGTTCTGTTTTCTTCATGATATGTTGAAAATTAAAAGATTGTTCGAGCATTGTCATCACTGACTAGAAAAACAAAGGGTTTTGATTGAATTTTGACTTGCGATTTCCACATTACACAGAAATTTAATTACAAGGAATATGAATACACAAGTTAAAATATAATGTATGGCCATTAAAACTAATATGTGATTGGCCAGCAAATAGAGATGAGCAGACACCCAGCTGCGGTGAATCTATGGGACACTACTGAACATTTTGGTTTCCTTTCTATTTTGGGTTTCATCATATGTAGACAGCTTGCATTTGTACTAAGGCAACTACTGTCTAGCTCTCAATCATTGGTCGTGAATCATGTATATATATTTGACATGATCTAGTATTATGCTCCAATAATCTTATGCCTAGAATATTATTTTATCGTTTCGTGGCAAACGACAAGACTATTTGATTTTCTCTTTATGTTAAAATGGTAAGAGGAAACTGGAATTAAAATTTTGATGATTGGTTAATAAGTAGTTTTAAAACATTAAAACGCCTACATAATTTTGAGATACAGTTTAACTGCCAGTTAACGTCGGATACCAAAATAATGCATTACTTAACCAACATTTACTTAAAGTCCTCTGAAAATCAGTTGAGGATTAAGTAGCACTCAGTTGTTGCCTTAATCAAGTTTGAGACTTTACAACGCTATACATCTACCGCCTTCGGGTTGAAATTAGCCAACTCTTATCATGGCAAGCTCTATACAATACTATCACCAAGTCGAAAATTCAAATATTTGAACTTGAGTCAGTTTGACACTATGGCATAATGACCAGGTAGTATTGTCAGCATGCCTTAACTTGGGTCTTGACTGTCTGTTAAACGGCCAGCGAGAGATAAATTACTAATCGATTAGATGAATAGTTGAAATTTAGTAAATTCGAAGATTACTATAGGCCATGATATCCTTGATCTAATTTTGTTAAGGGTCTTGAGCTCCTATTATTAACTAGAACGCAAATTCTTTTTACTGCTTTTTGGCTTTATATGGTTGTCAATTAATCATCGGTTTGTAATAGTATTTACTTTGAAATTTACCGAATTCTCGCCAGTCATTTTTTGTGAAACTACTGGTTGAGTAAAATAATCCATTGTTTCTGCTTCTCATTGATTTTCTCCCAGCAATTTTCTCATGAGTTTATATTCTGTATTGTGAGGTATTTTCTAGTAGATTTTCTGTTTATCACGTGGTGTTTTGTGAATACCTAGGTATTAGAAGATATAGCTGTTGGAGACTCCTCTAATCGTGAATCTGAAGCGGAGTACGAAAATGTTGATTGCGTGAATTCACTAAAGGTATGTGTTATAACCATTGTCGTATGGTTTTGGAAGTAATTAAGTTGAACTGGCGGCTTGGTGGTTAGACCATTTATCTTTTAAGTGATAGGTTACAAGTTCGACTTCTACTACATATTGGCTTGGGCATACGCATAGCATTAGTAGCCTTGATACATAAGCCTGTTCTTATTAAATTCATAATGTTTATTACATAGTTAAGATCATGTTTATGAAAACTAGTTATTTCGACTAGGTCTTGTTAAATAAGTGTTTGAAAGGCCTGAATAGTACTTTGAAACATCTATGATTACTCTAATATTAAATTACCTGCATCACAGATCATGGTGTCGTTATTAAATATTGATATCTGCCATGATCGTAACTTCACTGAGAATATATTTTGAGTTATACCATCATGAAACACGTTGATCTAAACACCAAATTCAGTAATATCATCTAATTTGAAACAAATAGTTTAAACATGACCTGGTTGGTTGGGGTTATCAATACAAAAACAGCAAATATGTGGCCACGCAAGATTATTGTGACGATATAACACGAATGGGTTCTGTAAACAGGTAGACGGGCATACTCAACGCGGGATCGGTGGCAGATATAGGTCGATCCGTTTTCTCACATATCACATCAACACAATGACAGGGATTTAACTCAGGTAACAAATGAGTAGAGAAATGTAATACCAATGGTAGCGCCAAACCAAACAAAACGTCTTTAAAAGGAAGTAATCAAGCTGAAAACTTTAAAGTCCAGAATGATGTTAGGCTCAAGACTGATAATGTTTCATTCGGGAAATTCATTTCACAAAAACTTTACCTTCTCTCCTGTTTAGAACCCATCATCAGGTATGCATGTTACTGTACTGAAAGAACTTAAAAATGTAATATCTCACCGTCGAGTAATTATGCAGAAGCGTGAAGAATGTGCTTTAAAACGACGATTGCAGATAGAGTGTCCTGATAACGAAAAGCCGAGTCTATCCACTGACAGGGTCAGCCTAAGTTCTGAAAAGGAGCTTCAAGTAAGACTTACAAATGTTTTTTTGAATTTTTTCTCTATTCTGTTGTAGTATAATTTGTTCAAATTTTTGTGTTTTGAAAACATCTCACATGTAAGTAGTAGTCTTTCTCTTATGCAAGCCAAAGTGGCTTATAGGAGTATGAAGTATTTTCTTAGCCATCGGCATGTTAGTCTGACTTTAAAATGCCGAGTTTACAACGTGTCGGTGAAAGCAGTTTTTTTGTCTGCAGAACACGCCCTCATTCAAGATAAGGATGTACGGCTACTCTGTTCGACCATCATTGTCTCTGAAGAATGTTTATTAATTGACTATTTTCAAACTCTAATTATAACATAAAATTTATTTTATAATATGCCAGTGATAGTCTGTTTTAGTGCACTTTATTTTTTAGCTCAATCCAGTGATTGGTATGCCTTGTCCTTTGTGGAACAGTAGGTTATTGATTAATGCGCTTTAATTTCGACTACTATGTTGCTCCGTCTACTTTGTTTTGAAAAGCAGGTTACTTTAGCTAAACTTCACACAAACTGTGTAAAAAGCAGTCGAGTATATGGAATTAAGTTGGATAAATAAGTTGGATGTTGATGGTGATATTAACTTAGTTCTTTCTTTCTAAGAAATTTTTTCCTGTTGGAGCCTCCAATGTCCATTCAGTTTTCAATATTTTAATAGCTACATGTCATAAACGTCATATAAACCTCGTTTGTAATTTATGGTGCTAGTGATCCGTACAGAAGACTTCCAGTCTATAGTCAGCTGTTTAATAGCCTACATTAAATCTACTTTTCCATACTCAGCTTGATATATATTCTTAAAATAAGTAGTATAGATTTTCACTTTTTTTCAGAAGTGATTTTTGTTACTTCACTTTACTCTCAAAAGTCCTACTGATCATGTTCTGTCACACTAAAATGTCCATGAATTAGTGACAATGATATTCTAATTACTAATATGAAATAGTAGACTACATCAATGCTTAAGCGTTTCTCACTGACTTTCGAATTTTCACCCGCTTATATTTTAATACGTAAATAAAAAGGTCATTTTCTTATATCTTATTTATTATCTGATCGCTTTTTCTTTAATGTTTAGACTCAGTTTGTATTATCCAATTCACTTGATACAAATGAAAGCATCTGTGCTTCTATGGATGATAAAGTACTAGAATTTTTCCCAACTCCTTTGTGTAATTCATCATGCGAATATTTCAAAAAGTCCCGTACTGGACGTCGAAATTTAAAATGTAATGTTTTAAAAAGAAATTCAATCTTTCTTCAGCTGTCATCTACTAATGTACATGAAAATCATAGAATTTCAAATTGTTCTGACCCAATTGTATTGAAAAATGTTTCACAGTCAAAAAACGCACCAGATAATAAGTTTCTACAATGTTCTTCACTAGCGAATGCTTTAATGAATCAACGTAAATTGTTGGGGTTAGCCACAGAGGATTGTTTTACTGGAATTGGTTCAGGTGAAATGTGTGTTGAAATGTCAGAAGAGAATCATACTGGCATTTCATAATAATCAATGAGTTTTTCTTCACAATTATCATTATGTAGTAATAGACATTGTACATTATTCATTCTGTTATTTTTCTGTGTAACTATTCTGACACTTGAGGGTGCAGTCGCATTGTATTTTATTAAAACTGAAATATACGTTTAGATACGTGGTGTGAGTACGTAATAGAGGCTATTGAATGCATGTTCGAGGATTCTATGTTCTAATTGGGTAATATAGATTTTTTCCCTTTGAATTTCGTACGTATTACCGAACGGAAATCTGATTTGTTCTGAAGTATATTCTTTGTTCTTGATTACGCTTGCAACGTTTATGTCCTAACACGATCAAGTGAAGTAACGGCAGAATAATTCTCCCGAATTTATGATGAAGTTTGTCTTTTGAATACCAAACTAGCTGGAGTCTAGCATATTGATATTAGTTTATTCTTCTGTTGTGATAAGGGTCTTTTGAAGATGTGTCCTGTAGCTCGATTCTATCACTAATTTCGAACTTGACGCCTGACTAACCTGCGATGATAAAGAGAATCAAGACTACGTGTGATCTTCACTGCTAAAAGCTGAATAATTTGCTCAAAATTTATGGGAAAATATAGGTTACATGTGATACGTTTGCAGGATAGCAGCGATTTCTCTAACGGTATTTCCGATACCATATACAATGGTTCTGTTCTCTTTCAGCCCCGCCTACTCCGACTAGCAAATCTTAGGCCGAAGAAGGGCGATGTGTATTCACAGTAGTTCAATTGCACATCGATTGATTTTAATGGTTATTAATCGCGGAACTTAAGGTCTTGGGAGCCATCACTTAAATGCAAAATAGCTTAAGTAATGACTAGAACAATGAAATGACTTGAAACACTGGATTAATTTTATACGGATTAAATCAATGCAAATGGGATCGCACTAAAAGTTAACGATCAAAACTCACTTTAAATCCATATGTAACTTCAGAAGTTGATTTCTAAAATCAAGTGTTTGTAAATTTACCGTTCCCGACATATTTTTAACCGAGACAGGGATATGTAGGTCGTGCAATTGTATTAATGAATAATTTATCTACTCACAGTAGATTACCCACAGTTTCCTCTCACCACTTGTCCTCGGAACAACATTTGTTTTGTTTGACTGCTCAGGAAATCAACTGAACCATTTGAATTGATGAATTGTATTCAGGTTGTTCTATAACATAGAAATCCTGATAACAGATTGATTGTTTTTACGTATTCAGGATATAGTACTCAAAAATCAGTGTCAAAAGCTATAAACAAGTGATCAACATATGCAGGGATTAAAGAAATATTTTAGTAAGATCTAAAAAAGAATAAATCATGAGTTCACATTAGAGTTCTTCCTTTTTCACTTGAGTTTAAAATGGGCAGTACGTATAAAGATCATAGTTGCTTTGTGTTGGGAGTTCCATCTAAATATATCGAATAACTTGTCAACATACTCCTTGAGATTTTGCACATCTGGTGCTTATGGATCAATAGATAATCCATTACCATAACTTTCCTAAATTACATGCTTCCATGACTAACAATGTTAACTGATTTAAGGGTTTTAGATTAATGTAAAAGGAGTATAAGCTAACTGAACGATGTCGTTAAACGTATTTTCACGATGTCAGCGGATTGTTCAAATTGACTTCTTTGGATAAATAACAGCTACCGCAACTTCAGTACTCGACAAAACACTTGGTTTATTTCCTTCAAAGACAATTTGTATTGTATGTTGAAAATCGATCTTAATAGATGTAAGGTATTATGGATATGCAGCCAGCTGATTTTCGTTTGCCTTATACCCTTTTTGAAGAAAGATAAATCAGTGGCCTGTTTAGGATGATGAAATATCAAATCTTTCTAAACGATCATTTAGTTACCTGATTACGATCGCAATTACATTTTCGAAGTGTTAGTTCGCTTACCATGTTGATTGATTTCAAAACGCGTCATTTTCTTTTCAAACCTTCGTTTCTGTAGGCTTGTAAATCATAAATGAAAAAAACAAACATTGCAGTAGGTTTATGCTGTTTTTGAGGATCATTCATTGTTATTTCGTCTCTAAAGCAACCTATTCGGGTTGATGTTTGCTTTACGGAATCCCACACTTCTGTCAGTCATTTTATCGTCGAGTTTGGACAAATTGACGGTAATCAAACAGAAATGGTATTTCTGTTTTGATGGTATGCTATCATTTCCAATTTTTATCTCTAGTTTCGTCAGAGTATAACAGGATGATTTTTCTCGATTCCTTTCTCAGTTCTTATCAAAAATGTACAATACCATATCTGACAGACAACTCTTCACCTTTTGGATCTTTCATTTCTTTGCAACATCAGCGTTAATTAACACATGCATGGTGAAAAATCTCAGCCAAAACCAAATAGTTATCATTCAGGGTGTTTTAGGTTTCATTCATTTTATTTTGTCCAAAAGCTTCCCTATAACTATGTAGCTAAAACTGTGTCTGTTTGACTGTTTATTTACTAAAACTTGTTTCCTAAGCGAAATCCCGAACAAACTAAACTTTTTTGTGAGGTTGTACCTTTTAAGAAGTATACAATGATGTTAGGTTTTTTCGTCAGAAAATAAGCATAGCGAACCAGAGTACAAAAGTACCCAAAACTGAGTAGGCGAAATATTTCGACTAATATTTGTAACTACTAGCTAGTAGTAAGTTTAATAATTAAAAATATGGAGTTTCTGTTTTGCCCTAATTTATGTGAAAGTCTTGGGGCTTGAAATTAAGATAACTCCGGTGTTTCGCTTAGCAGCCTTGTCTAAGTTTCATTACGGAGACGTCAGACCTGTTTTTAATCCAAGCGATAACGTTTTTAAGTCTTATTTTCTTAGTGTCTTCCTAAACTCGGCTCCCGACTATTGTGTTTCTACTCTATTGCTTTATTGCTTTGATACGAAATGGGGAAGGTGAAACACAATAAACTTGGAAATCGTTCAAGAAAGACTTGGCTAATGTTTCCATATAACATAATAATGCTCATTTTCGGCATAGACTTCTGTGACTTAATATGCCTATAAAATTGGTTTAAGATATAAAAATCAACCATTCATAATGTTATATTATCAGATTTTTTACTTCAGTGTTTGCTTACAGATCTCAGAAGGACATATTAATGAACTCAATGCTTACCTACTTTGCCTCTCGACTAATGAATTAGTCAGACATCCTACTAATTTCTATCTGTGAATTACTTTTTTTGTATAAAACTTTAATTATTCTAAGTGAATGTAAACCATTTTAAGCAGCATAATTGCCTCCACTTTTTATCTGGAAACGGATATTTTATACTCAGTGATGGAGATTTGTTAGTTGTAAGGAAATTATTTTCTAAAAAAGAAACATGCATAGATCAACTTTGAAATTTTACAAGACAAAAATTTACTTAAGTTGGTTATCTCAGTAGCTTACTAATTCCATATGCATTTGTCAATGATTCAAATTTCCAGTGATGTAGTGCCTTGATATTCCAGTTATAGGATGTTCAACAAATCTTTCTATTACAGTAATCACTTTTAACTATGAAGTTGAATAATGTTTTAACTTGATCTCTTATTACAAATATGATTTTCTCCTGCGGACATGTACTGGTGATTATTAAGTTTGATACAATTTAGAAAGTTTATGAATATGTTATCCTATTTCTTGGACCTTAAGACGTCAAATTTAGATGAATAATTAAACTTGAGATGGTAAGATAAACAGATTGTATGCATAAGCTATTTGTGTAACTACTCTTTAAATATGCATATTACAGATTTATTCTGTACAACCAAATTTGTCGAAAACATTGAATTAATTGAATAGCGAATTTACTAAAGAAACATTAACCAAATTGTTTGTTTTGATAATTTTCAAATATGAATTTAAACTAAAACATTGATCACTTATTAGATGCAAATAATGGATGAGATCAGCTTTCAGTATCTAATATTAATAACTAATTAAAGATTCTGTTATACCTTGAGGCAGTAAACAAAGATCTCGATATGGAAAGCGACTTTGTTAACATTAACACAGTCATATGAGAAATATTCATAACTGAATTCTGATGTTATAACTTATTTTAATTATGTATAACTTATTACGTCTGTAATCATATTTGGATTGAGTGGTAAGGAATAGTATGTAAAAAAAACTATTTTCGAATAATTAATCTAGTTTAGATCTTAACAGAAATGTTATATTCCTTAACAAATAGACTAGAATCGATCAATTTTAACGAGGTATTAACTTGTTATAGGTTAATTGCATTCAAAGATTATACTTATACTACAATGTTGGTAAATAATTTTATTCATTAGAATATGGGAACTGAAATTTAATAATTATATACATACATTAGGCCATATTATTGAATTTCTTAACCTGCTTCGGTTTGGACACCCGGGAAGTATCACAGCCCTCATGGATATCAAATGAGATCTGTGTGGCGCATATGTATTTGGTGCCTCCGTGTACCATTATCGATGTGTTAAAATAAATAAATAAATAACCTTGCGATACCTTACAGTTATTATTTTTCTATATTTAACTATATTTCTATACAATTGCTATTAGTAGACATAGTTGCATTGATATATCATTTGATAAAATCTGATTATTTATTATTTAGTTCTACTCAATTTCATTACAGTTTCAGTAATATAAACTAAACCATCTTAGAAAACAGATTACAAATAACTTCTTGATACTTATAAATAACCTTTTTTTCAAATATCATAAAAATGTAACGAAACTTTATAACTATTTAAAGCTAGAACATCGTGGAAAACCTGGAAGCATTGAACGACTGTTTTGTACTAATATGGGACTCCTTAGCAGTGTGTATCCATGATCCTGCACATGGGACTCGAATCTAGCACCTTCGGCCTTGCGCGCGAGTGCTGAGGAGTCCTATACTAAGACGAAACGGTCGTCCAATGCATTCAGGTTTTCCATGATGGTCTAGCTTCAGCTGATTCATGAACTCAACTATTAAATTACTATAATCTCCACAAAACCCCTTTCTGATAAATTGTAAATTAAACATTGTAATTACGCAGTTCATATTATAATTTGCATTACGATTTAGTGTACATTTTATGGGGAGTAATTTGAAAATTTATTTTATCATACCAGGATACTGGAACAGGTATGAACGTGTACTTAATAAAAAATCTTAGCAATTGAATTCATAAGTAGATCTAAGCTAGACAACTGTTGCGAACCTGGAAGCACTGGACGGTTGTTTCGTCCTAGTACGGGACTTCACAGAAG